AAGGAAAGGATGTCAGAAACATAAGGGCTGTGCTCCAAAAGTTTGTTTGCAAGTTGGTTGTTTGGAACAGAGAGAAAGCAATGTGGCTGAGTGTTTAGTCTGGTCTAAAAGTCTATTTTGCACACAGTATAACTCTACTATGGGAAAGAAATCCCAGGGTTCCCCAAGCAACAATGCAGCTGGAAGGCTCTGGTTGCCTTGAGTCAGGGTGGGGAATGTGTCCTATGTCCAAACTGTCTTGCTCCTTGATGCCTGCACTTGCAGCTCCAGGAAGACTCAGTAAGAGGTCAATCACTGCAGCTGAAAGGAAGATGCCTTTCTCTCAAGTGCAGCTTATGGAGCCTACTTCTTCAAGAGGGTGTTTACAATTCTGTTGTAGAAAAGTTGAAAAACAATCTTTATATAAGTACCCATTTTAATGAAAAAACATTAAACACGTCATATGTCATATGTGATGTGTTACATAGTCACTAAATATATATAGAAAAACAAATAAAACTTTCTTATATCCCATGTGCTGATTTGGGTTTAGGAAATATTTCTAAAGAGGTAGAAGGAAAGCACAGGTAGCTCCCCATCTAATGCCTATCAGAAACCCAGATGTTTTGGGTGGAGTGTTCTATAAATGTCTATTAAATCCTGTTGGTTGATACTGTTGCTAATTTATGTATATCTTTGCTAATTTTTTCTGTTCTATTATTTGACTGATTGTTGAGAGAGGGGTGTTTAAGCGTCCACCTATAATTGTGCATTTGTCCATTATTACTTTCAGTTCTATCAGGTTTTGCTTCATATATTTTGCCGCTCACTTGTTTCATGAATACACATTTAGAATTGCTATGACTCCTTGGTAAATTGAAACTTTTATTGTTATTATTATGTATTGTCACTCTATGTTCCTGGTAATTTGCTTTGCTATGAAGTTCACTTTATCTGATATTAAGATAGTCATTACTGGTTCCTTTTGATTAATGTTTGCATGATGTACCTTTTCCCATTCTTTTACTTTCAGTCTACCTATACGGTTATATCTTAATCAAGTTTTCTAAAGACAGTATTTACTTAGGTTATGTTTTTTAATCCACTTTGTCAATCTTTATCTTTTAATTGGTATATTTTGACCATTTACATTTAATGTAATTATTGGTATGTTAGAGCCTGTATGCCATTTTATTATCTGTTTTCTGATGGTTGTCTGTTTTCTATTTCTCTGTGTTCTTTCTCTGGCTTTCCTATATTTTTTAATAAATGTTTTAGAATTCTATTTTGATTTACCTATAGTGTTTTGGAGTATGTCTATTTTTATAGATTTTAAAGTGGTCATTCTAGGTATTACATTAGATATGTAACTTAATACAGTTTACTGGTGTTGACATTTTACCAGTTCAAGTGAAGCACAGAAGTATATTACTTCCCTTTATGTTATTTTACTCTCCCCTATTTATAATATAATTGCCTTAAATACTTCTTCTGTATACACTTAGATCATATCAATGTTATAATTTTTGCTTCAACTGTTAAACATAATTTAGAAATGTCGAGAAGAAGGAAAAATATAATTACCCACATTTTTTCTTTCTGTTCTTTCCTTTCTAAATGTTTCAAGATTCCTTCTTTGATCATTTATTTTCAGTTTGGAGAACTTCCTATAGCTGTTCTTTTAGGATAGGTCTGATAGCTACAAATTCCTCTAGTTTTCCTTCATTGGAGAGTGTCTTAATTTTCTCTTCCTTCCTGAAGCACATTTTTGCTGGATATAGAATTCTGTATTGATGGTTCTGTTCTATTTACACTTGAAATATATGCCATTTCTTTTGGCCTCTATAGATTCTGAAGAGGAAGTAGTTGCCACTCAAATAGATTTTCCTCTATAGATATGTATCATTTCTCTCTGGCTGCTTTCAAGGTATCTTCCTTATTTTAGTTTTCAAATGTTTATGTGTCTTGGTGTGGATTTCTTTGGGTTTACTTATTTGGAGTTCATCTAGCTTCTTGAATTTTGTAGGTTTATGTCTTTTACCAAATTTGGGAAGTTCCTATTTTTATTGTTATATCTTTATGTTCCCTGGTTCTTTCCTCTGTCCCCTCCATTTTATTGTTGAGCTCAAACACTGAGTTTTTTAATTTGGTTATTATATTTTTCAGTTCTAAAATTTCCATTCAGTTTTTCTTTAAATCTTCTCTTTCCTGAGACTTTCTATTTTTTCATTTTTTCCAACATGTTTACTAATTGCTCATTGGAGTATTTTTATAATGACTGCTTTAAATTCTTTGTCAGAAAATTCTAATATCTCTGTCATTTGGTATTGGCATCTATTATCTTCTTCCATTCAAATTGAGATTTTCTGGGTTTTTGGTATGACAAGTGATTTTTAAATAAAACAAGGACAATGGGATATTATGATACTCCTGATCTTATTTAAACTTTCTATTTTAGGTGGGTTTTTTTTTTTCCCTGACACTTTTTCAGCAAGGGAAGTGGGGAAGGAGAAGTGCCACCTCACTACTGCCAGGTGGGGCAGAAATCCAGGTTCTCCATTTGGTTTCTATTTCTATGGTTTCCATTTGACAACCAAGGGGTGGAGGGGCTCCTCATTATTGCTGGGCATGGGTAGGAATTCTGACTCCCCACTAGGCTTCCATTATTACCATCCCAGCTAGGAGAGGCAGAATTGCCTTACTGCTTTTCCCATATGATCCCCACTGATCTCACAGGAGTGGTGGTGGTAGTGGCCTCATTACTGCTGGGCAGTGGTGAAAGTCCTGCTTCTCCAACCAGCCTCTTCTGCACACCACCCTAGTGAGGAAGGAGAGGGGTGCCTCATTACTGTTGGGTGTGGGGTAAAGTCCAGGCCTCCCACTTGGCCTTTGCTGATTTGGGTAGGGATAAGGCCACGGTTTTTACTATGGTGCATGGCTAGATTAGGGCAGTCATTATCCAAAAGTTTCTTTTAGAAAGGCTGTCATTTTCCTGGTCCTCTGGCTACAGAGTGCAGGCTTTTTTCAGGGCTTTTTAAAAATCCACACCCATTGGTATTTCTGGGTCACTGGCTCCAAGTCTAGGATACATGTGGTAAAAAGAAAACCCAGGGAACTTACCACTGTGTTGCTCTGTGGGTCCCAAGGTCCCTACATATTCTGCTTTCTTCTCCACCTTTCAGAGTCTTATATTTGTTTTACATATAATATGCAGGATTTTTAGCACTTAGTAGGAGAAACAGGGAGACGAATACATCTATTTCATCTTCCTGGAAGCAGAAGTCCTTGGAGGAAAATGGATTCCTTAACTAGAGAATGCTTTTTTAAAATCCTTTCTAAGGGTAAAAAGAAAAAGGTTAAAGAAGGGGGAAAAAAAAAAACCCTTGTAAACTGTAATGACTTACTGAAGTATACGTGGAGTAGTTTTATATATGTTTGCCAGAATTTCAAGTGATTTCCATTTGATCTCAATTTCCAAATGTGTCCAGTCTAACTCTTGATTTGATCAATGACTGAGAACCAGAGAGGGGAAGGGACTAAATTGAGGCCACAGAGGGAGTCTGAGGCAAAACCAAAATGAGAGTTGAGGGTTTCTGACTTGTAGTCAGTGCCATTTTCACTTACTAGGCCATTTCTTTCTCTTCTATGAGGGAAAAATAAGGGGCTGGACCAGAAGAAGGTCTTCAAGGGACATCTCCAACTTCAATGTTTCGTGATTTTTATGACTGTCCTGAGCCTTGCTTCCCTACTCCCTATCTCATCTTCTGCTGCTACTATGCTAATCCTATAACAAAGAATGAGAGTTGGGGAGAGCATAAAAATCCACAAATACAGAAAATATATTGAACTTTGTATCTGTGATGACTGCATCTTGCTACATATTTAGAAAAACACTTCCCATACAATCTGTAGCTGTACAATTCTAAAGGCGGGGTGTGACTTGTTTCTGGATTCACTATGCACATGATCTCGTGGCACTCGATGTAGGTGAGCATGGTAAACTTTACTCAGGAGTCCTGCTTTTATGACTGAAAGGAGCAAAGAGACAATAATAGCAGCAGCTATGGTAAAAGGAAGTTTAACAGTGGCATATTGCTGGAGTTTGAACACTACCCACTAGTTGTGTGACTTCAGGCAAATCATGTAACTTCTCTGAACCTCAGTATCTTTATCTGTAAAATGGGGACAATAATAATACCTAAACCTTATTAGTTCTTCTGAGGACTACAGGCTAAAGCTTAGAACAGCAGCTATTAGCTGCTGCTGCTGCAGCTGTTGTTATATCATTCATTGGAGGCTTATTATAAATAAAATACTAGATAGACACTTTGCATATATTATCACATTTAATCCTATAATCATCTTTTGAGGTATGGGATATTATTATCCCATTTTATGGATTAAGAAAGTAGCATATTTTATTATTAAAATCATTTGTAAATATATAAATTAGTATTAACTAAACAGATAAATTACATTTAAAAACAACATTTGAAGCCAAGAAGTAAAGTAGCAAAAACATTCTCTGGCACATTCAGAAACCATAATTGGTAATGCATCCAGTGTTACATTACCATGACTATTATTTATTATTAGTTTTATAACTCAAACTTCTCCAAAAACTTTTAAAGAGCAAAGTAAAATCATAGCCTGTTCACTCTATGGGAATATTAGGCCTGATTTCCTTGGGCTGATTTTTGCAAAGTTCACACACTGAGCTTAACAGGGCACACCCTGGATTCCTGTAAGGACTCCATATATATTCGATACAGAAGAATTCTTTCTCATCATCCTGTAGCTAGAGTGGAGAATCAGAAGGATAAGGTTTAAAATTAAAGCTTGATGAGGCTTGTCTGTCATTTAGAATACCCCTCACTATTTTCTTTTTATTTCTAGTTTTAAACTTTTGGGAGAAAAATACAACAAATAATTCCTTGCTTGATACTAATCCACTGTCTGAGATTATTCTCTTAACACTTTCTGATACAAGAATAAACATATACATTTTAAAATGTGCTTACTGAGGCAGAACGGTTCCAACATATTCAGAAATGAAAATTCACTCTGTAGGTTCATCCTTCGAAGGAGCATTCTGACCACCAAGGATTTGATTTTCTCAGGCCACGGTTTAAGTAGTAAGTAGCCAGGAACATAGAAAGCATATCGAAACCAGCACAAAAGTGGAGTGGCGAGCTTGCCTCTGGGTGACTCAGACATTCGCTCAATTGTTGGAAAGAGCAGAAAAGAGCGAATTACCTACAATTAAAAAAAAAACAAAAACAACACTTTGATGCAAAGTTTTCTTAAGGGATAAGTCATTGCTTTATTGTTTCTTCTATATAGTATCTACAAAGGACTGGGTTTTATAATATGGCTAACAATCTATTCAGACTGAGAAGAAGTAGCACCCACTGCCTTCTCAGCCCTCAACCGACCTGGGTAGGATATAAGGATGTCCCTTAAGTTGCTGGGGTTAATTTTCAGGGTGAGGAGGAAATCAGATTCCTAGATAAGTTCTTGATTGTGACAGCAACTCACAATCCCTTTGAAGGATTGCTGAAAGTAGAAATGAACGTACCATTTTAGTAGTTATACCAACTTGACTGACTAATGATGCCAAAAGAGAATAAAGCTACATAAAAGACTCCATTTCTGGTCAGAATTTCTTTTATTGATTATATTTGGAGATAGTTCACTTTTGAAAAGCTCCTCTATTCCTTAATCTTCCCAGCCAATCTTTCATAGGACCAAATATATTTTTAGCAACTGATTCAACCTCAATGAAGTGTAGGCCAGGGACAAAGGAAGCTGGGAATTTCTACCTATGTGGGAAAATGTTTAAGGACAAAAATATCATTTCAACTCAATTCATCAGAATATCATGAAATATATTTTAATAATACACCAGATGAAAAGAGCATCGCTAAAACATTTAAAATTTACCATTATTTACCATATTAATATTAAAAAATTAATATATAAAAATAATTTATATGGGGATCAGAAAAGTCAAAATAGTTAAGTATAATCCATATTAATAATAGGATAACATAAATGGAACATAAATGGAACAGCTCATCAATGTTAGCAGACTGTAGAACAGGAAATGAGAATGGACACATGATTTTACTTTAAAAAAAACCTTTTAAATTGTTAAGTATAACATACAGAAAAGCATATAAAACATAAATGTTCAATTTAACAAATAATTTATAAAATGAACAGCTGTGTGGGTCAAGAAAGAAGACACTGCCAGCATGGCATCTTCCCATCATACCCCCTTCCTCTGCTCACATCTTAGGTAATCTCTATCCTGACTTCCTTACTTTTCTTTATATCAATACTTATCATTCCTTAATACTATAATCACTTCCTTATTTTGCTTTATATTAATGCTTATCATGCTGCTATAGACTGAACTGTGTCACCCCCAAATTGATATGACGAAGCCCTAGCTCCCAAGGTGACTGCATGTAGAGAGAGGTAATTCCGGTTATATAAGGTCATAAGAGTGGGGCCCTAATGGATAGGAATAGTATCCTTATAAGGACAGACGCCTGAGAGCTTACTCTCATCCCAAGAACACACAGAGAAGAGGTCTGGAGAACACACAGACAGAAGGTGGCCATCTGCAAGCCAGGAAGAAGTCTCACTGGAAACTGACCATGCTGGCACGCTGATCTTGGACTTCCAATCTCCAGAACTGTGAGAAAATAAATGTCAGTTGTTTAAGCCACCCAGTCTATGGCATTTTGTTATGGCAGTTCGAGCGGACTAATACCTATCCCTTAATACCACAGTTAATTCTTGTCTGTTAATGAACTTCATATAAATGTAATCACGCAGTATGTTTTTATATTTTACTTGCTTCACTCAACATTGTTTATAACATCCAACCATGCTGATACATGTAGCAATAGCTCACTATCTTTGCTATACAGTTTTCCACTGTAAGAACATAACACAATTTATTTTACTGACAGATATTTGTGTTGTTATTACAAATATGCTGTTATAATGTTTTTACACACATCTCTTGTGCATGTGTGCATGTATTTCTGTTGACCATATCACCTCGAAGTAGAAATATGGGGTCATATGGCTGCGCACGTGCAGCTTTAATAGGTAGTTCCAATTTTTTTTTGAATTTTTGAATTCTATTTTATCTATTATTTTATACAGCAGGTTCTTATTAGTTATCCATTTTATACATATTAGTGTATATATGTCAATCCCAATTTCCCCAATAGTTTTTCAAAGTACTTATACCAATTTACATACAGAAAAGCATATAAAACATACATGAGGGTTCATATTGTTACATTTCCTCACATTTGGAACTGGCAAACTTTATAATTATAATTGTAATTGACTAACCTGGTGTTTAGAGGTATTTCATTGTGGCTCTAATTTGTGTTTCTCTGATGACTGATAAGGCTTTTATATGCTTTTTGGACATTTTCTATATATCCTTTGCAAATGTCTTATTTAAGTCTCACATTTTTCTATTAGACTGCCTTATTTTTTATTGATTTGTAGAAGTTGCTTTTTCTTTTAGAGTTGCTTTTTCTTTTAGATACCAGTCCTTTGTCATGTTGCAGTTCTTGGCTTGCCTGTTCAACCCTTATTCTTTTTTATTTTTCTTAATGGAGATAAGTTCTTAAGTTTGATGCAGTTGAATTTAACAGTCTTTTCTCTTACAGTTATTGTTCTTTGTCTGTGGTTTAAGAAATTCTAGAAGAAATTTTTTCATGCTACCTCTTATCTGTTCTACAATGTGGATTTAAGCCTTGGGCTGTGTTTAACTTCAGCTGTGAGTCTGTTCCTTTGATTTCAGGCATCAGTGATTTGCCACTTCCCTTATGTATTTACATTCTTCCTCCTGGATGAACTTGATGCACTTTTCCTGGTAGGACCCGACAGTAAAGGTGGGGTTTTGTGGACTCAGTCTCTTTTTTACCTTCCACTGTTGACAGTCCTTTTTCATAGTAACCTATTTGATGGCACTGACCAAATGTTACAGTTGATCAGGTAACACCTGTCATTCTGCCTTCATGTCTGTCTCACTAGTAGAGAACAGAGATTTGAGGGTGAAAACTGTGGAGGACTCTTCTTTCTAATCATATCTTCTTGTTCTTCCTTGGTCATATCTATCAGCTAAGTGCTTAGCCATTTCCTGCAGACTTTTCCTTTTCTCTCAACAATATCTGAGATATTTTAGTTGTTTATTTTTGGTCACAGTAATTTGATCTCTACTAGATTTCCTCCTCTGTCACATAAGTAAGAAGGTACTGTTCCCCGTGGCCTTGATGTTCTCTGGGAGCAGGGAGGCCCAGCCTTTTCAGACGATGTTTATAATGCTGGGTTGGTAACAACACATGGCAAAGTGCTCATAATGTGCTTTTTGAATGAACGCTGAGTTTCACCCAGAAGGTGGGAGTTTCTGCCACCTTGGCATCTTCTCAAGCACAAAGCAGAGGAGATGCTGCATGGATTGTGCTTAATAAAGGCCTTTGGGGCCTTTATGGGGCATTCATGGGCACTTGCGATGCAGATCACTGTGGGCTCCAGAATGTCAGGGATGATCCAGAATATTCCAGTCAGAGCCAGCTGCCTGTATTACAATGGGTTTATACAAAGGTTATATATAAAGATCCACACAAAGGTTACAGGATCTCTGGGAAGTCTGACTGGACAAGAAAAGTCAGTTAAAGGAATCATTCTCCCTGGATGCCAATTTCAGTGTGAACTCTAACTCAATGCATTTGTCTTGGGGTTTTTTTACTTTTATTTTCATTTTATTTTTGGCTGCGTTGGGTCTTCGTTGCTGCACACGGGCTTTCTCTAGTTGCGGTGAGAGGGGATTACTCTTTGTTATAGCGCGTGGGCTTCTCATCGTGGTGGCTTCTCTTGTTGCGAAGCATGGGCTCTAGGCACGTGGGCTTCACTAGTTGCAGCATGGGGCTCAGCAGTTGTGGCAGGCAGGCCCTAGAGCACGCAGGCTTCAGTACTTGTGGCTCATGGGCTCTAGAGCGCAGGCTCAGTAGTTTTGATGCACGGGCTTAGTTGCTCAGTGGCATGTGGGATCTTCCTGGACCAGGGATCAAACCCACGTCCCCTGCATTGGCAGGTGGATTCTTAACCACTGCACCACCAGGGAAGTCCCTAACTCAATGCATTTGAACACAAACACAGGAGGAATGAAATCAGCTTCGGGATCCTGGGACTTTTGATACTTGGTCACCTGCTTCTTCCCCTTCTAGCATAACACAGGGACACAGCATTCCTGATTCATCAGTGATGCCTATGGTGTTGAGGACACAGGGTAAGCAGAGCATGTAGTGTGAGCATCCTAACTATAGTTCCCTTCAATCTTAGGAAGCATAAGTAAAGAACCTGATCGCTTCCCGATGTCTCCAGGGCTCTTGAACAGGTCTCTGTATCTCGTATCCCATATACAGTGGGTAAGCTACTGCTTCACCTTTGCCTTTTCTGTCCAGAGATATTCTTCAGGACTGCTCCCAATGGCTCAAAGTCAAACAGGGCTGCTGTCTCTCTTAGAGATATGGAATATACCCTTCAGGCTGGCAAAAAACAAGAAATCTAACAATACCAAGTACTAATGATGTGGACCAGCAAGAACTCTTAAACAATATGGCATTAATTATTAGCCTTTCTTCTTCTGTTTTCGAAAGTATGAGCCCTTTGGTGGGTGTCTGGAGCTCACATAGAAAGTAAATTTTATCATATCGTCTAATGTTAGCAGTTTAATTCAGGGATCCGGCATTTCACTTGGATACCAAACAGCACGCTTTAAGACTCTGAGGGGTAGAAACGATAAAAAAATCTTTTAGCAACTGGAGTGGCACTACAATTAACCACTGACTTTTATACCTTCAAATTCAGATTTTTCCCCCTATCTCTTGACGTAATTCTAATATCATGAGTCCTTTAACTCCTGTAAGTGCTACCAATGTTCTGTTGGACTTAAGTCTTGAGAGATTTCAAACGGGTGGATTTGTATAAAGCAATCTTTGGTATTGAGAGAGGCAGGGTTTCTCACTGCCCTGCTGAGGCCTCCCAGCTGAAGGGCTAAGAAGGAGCTCCCTTCCCCACCCCACAGGAAGAGTTCTCCCTCAATGCTGAAGAGCAGGTTTCTTGTTAGCAGCTGCAGTGGCAGCAAAGACAATGATGAAGAAACTGACTTCTCAGCCTCAGCTGGGCTCTCGTTTGTCACTCCCACCTGGAGCTATAGG